GCCAGGCCGGGACCACGCCCCCGCGCCCAGACAGCTGCTAACAGCTGGGCTCGGGGCATCCGGGTCTCTGTTGGCTCCGGAAAAGCAGCTGCCACAGCCTGTCTGGGACGCGACCCCTGCTGGGGCCTGTGGCCAGGAGAGGCTGCCACTCACCTGTCATGTTCTTTATCCACCAGGTGGTACCTGGCCCGGAAGGCCACCAGGTGAGCGTAGTACGCCCCCGCGCCCAGACAGCTGCTAACAGCTGGGCTCGGGGCATCCGGGTCTCTGTTGGCTCCGGAAAAGCAGCTGCCACAGCCTGTCTGGGACGCGACCCCTGCTGGGGCCTGTGGCCAGGAGAGGCTGCCACTCACCTGTCATGTTCTTTATCCACCAGGTGGTACCTGGCCCGGAAGGCCACCAGGTGAGCGTAGTATGCTGGCGCTGGGATGGACACCGAGCGCGTGCAGCGCACGTAGGTGTGACACAGCTGGTAGGTGAGGATCTGCAGCTCGTCGGAAGAGAAACGATTGTCATCCCAAAGCACGTGGTAGTGGGAGGGCCTGCTTGTTCCCTGAAAGCAGACGGGGGGTCAGAGACGCAGCGCTCACCGCGAGGGCACCGCCAACAGGCTGTGCCCAGCCGCTCACCGCTCGCACGCTCCTTACCAAGGACACGGTGTTTAGCGACAGACAGCGACGTTATTACGCATCATTGTAAAAGGCACCAGGAGATGTATTTCATCAGGCGTGTAAACACAGACCGCACACACTTATTCACATACAAAAAACCATAGAAAAGATATAAAACACTAGAGAAATGTTTGTTCCGGGGCTGCACCACCGTATAGATCGGGTTTCTACAATGTATCATTTACAGGCAAGAAAAACATCTCTTAAAACTCACACTTTAAAAAGGGAGTTGGCACACGTGTGTTACTTATGCAGTTTGTGAAGCTGGAAATCTTTTGAAACTGAAGGAAGTGGGAGCTGGCAGCCTTGCCCCCCAACACGGGGCACAGAAGGCGCCGGCGTGGGCACCCTCACAGCTGCCACACTGCTCAGCCGGCCCACCCGCCCGCCACCCGCAAAGTCCCGCCTGCCTCCTCCGGTCCGGCCACGGCTGCCCGCTCACCCCTGTGCTCGGCCCAGTGCCAGATGTCACGTCCCCGCCCCACCCCCACTTTGCCATTTCGTTGGTGGCTGTCAAAGGGGTGGGGGGCGGGGTATTCTGTGTAAGGGGGCCTGCCCCTCGAGGCCCATGTGTCCCAGCCCTAAATGTCTCAGCAGAGGACAGGCCCCCCCGCCCCTCCGTGTTCGTACGTGGGCCCATGTGGAAGGGCGCCTGCTGGAGGCCGTGAGTGGGAGAGGGGCTGCCCAGGGCCCCGCAGGGAGGCCACTGTCTCCAAGGCTCAGCCTCTCTTTTTCCTCTTAGCAACTGAACATGGAAGAGCCGTTCTGGGCCTTGGGTGCACCAGGCCCACAGGCCACACCTCGGCGTCGGGCAGTAACAATTCCCAGGAAACAGTCCAACTACCAAGTTCACAGTGATGTCTCAAGTTTTAGGTTCCCGTTCTCTGGGGAGGGTTACTCAAGTCCTACACAGACTCAGACCGAGCCCGTGTGCTGGGCTCTGAGGCAGGCAGCACCCAGGCTGGACTCCCGGCACGGCCCCCGCGTGGCAGCCCTCCCTCAGGACCACCCTCTTCCCCGAGAGACGGGCGAGCCAGAGACACTTCCCCAGGTGCCCAGCAAACACACGTGGACCCCACCACGGGGTGTGAGCTCACCGAGGCGGCCCCTCGTCCCTCACAGCCCTTCCCACATCTCCGGAGCCCTCCTCGTCACCTTGTGCGAGGCCGACCTTCACCAGGTGGTCTTGTCACCTGAGCTTTCACCCCGCTTGCTAAGCACCAGGCCCAGGGACACCCTGCCCCCACCAGTGCGCCGGCACCAAGCACTCACCGCTCCTGCCTGGACCTTACCTCATCTGAAATGCACCCCAGCTTCCCAGTGGGTCCCTTGTCCCCAACGCCTGGTGGTCCCGAGCCCCTGACCACGGCTGGGGCCCCTGCTAAGTGCTCCCCACCGAGTCCCACCCCGAGGGTCACACCTGCATGTGTTTGCTGAGTGTGACCTGACGTCACAGACACTGAGAGGCCCAAAGGGGACCCTTTGCCTCACCTGGATGCCAGCGTGACTGCACAGGTAAAAATCGAACTCGGTCGGGTGGGTGATCTTCGTGTCCACGGTGGTGCCTGCTGGAATGTTTCCGCTCTTCCCGACCTTCAGCAACACAGGAGTGTCAGCCGTGCCCGGAGGGGGGCGTGGGGGCAGCCGAGGAAGCCCAGCAAGCCCTGCCCCCCGCCCTGAGGCTGGGCCCCCCTCCACGGGCCCTGTTCAACTCTTTAAATTGATGGATACATTCGCTCAGCACTTTTTGAACCGGCCACAGCCGTGGCTGCTCACTAGCGGGTTCTCTTTCAGAGCCGCCTCCTGGCCCTTTATCAGCTAAAGCACGTCTCCGCCGGACCCGTGGGACTCACAGGGCCACGTGCTCACCAAACGGAGGACAGCGCTTCTCTAATGCCCCAGGCCCGGACCCCACACAGCCCTCTGAGGGCAGCGGCTCCCAGAGCCCGGCAGGCCCCGCGGCGAGGACGCACCCGCTCGTTCTTGTCCGTGCAGAAGAGCCGCGTGTGGTGCCGCTTCTGCACCACGATGAACGTGATGCCCGGCTGGTAGTCCTTCTCCAGCTTGATGCAGGCCTCGCGGATGGCCAGCAGCTCGTGGTGCAGGACCTGCGGGGACAGAGGGCGTCAGGCCAGTGTGTCCTCAGGGTCCGCTGCCGGGAACAAGTCGCTTAGGAACATGCAGCACTTGACACGTAGCTGCAGCCACGGCTCCGAGTCCCGCCGGCGTGTTCATGGCTGCGTGCTCGGCCTTTCGGGACCTACGCCTCCGTTTGTATAATGGAGAGACCGACACCCAGGTCCCAGGGGCCAGTGGTTTCAATGAGAAGATGGTAACGCGCTCAGCACGGAGTGTGCGAAGTGCTGGTAAAGGCCGCACAGTGGCATGAGGCGCGGCGGGGGACACAGCACAGCCCTCGCCTCGTCTGTGTGGAGAAGAGCGAGAGGGCCTAGCAGAAAAGACACTGGCTTAGGTGTCGGAGGCAAGTCCAAGTCCTCATCTGACACGAGCAGCTGTGTGGCTGGGGGAAGCCAGGCACCCTCTCTGATCCCGGTTTTCACTCTTCAGATGGGACCACCGACCTTGCAAGCTTGCCGTGCTGACTAAAGTGACGTGCAAAGCGTGTGCCCGGGAGCCCCGGAGTTAGGGCACAAGGACGGCGAGGCCCCGTCTCGTTCCCTCCGTCTGTCTTCAGAGAAGACGGGGGACGTCCCCCACACCCCCCTGAGGCTTCAGTGACCGTCCCCACTAAACACTGTTCTGCTGCCCTGACTATGCCTCCAACCCTACAGGAGACGAGGGCGGAACTAGACAACGAAGAAGGCTGGAGCTCAGAGGAGCACCCTTCCAGCCGGAGGGAGGCGGCCCGGAGTTCTGCGCAGGCGGTGCCACGGGGTCCACCGGCCTCGGCACCCAACAGGCAAGGGAGCGTCC